ATCCAGGTATCATGTGCAAGAAGACATTTCAGGATGCAGTCTGCGTCTCATCCCTTAGCTGTAAATGCAGTTCAAATGCAGCATGCGAGTTGTAGGGGTGAAATAAATTTCATATTTTACAGAGCCAGTGAATGATGATGTTGCATGGAGTTGTCAGTGGGGTAGTGTCGGCAAGCATCTCTTGATTTTCACATTTGGCGAGCAAACTCCTCGCTCCAGTATTGCTGCATTTGATTTTGGTCAAGTTTCATTCATTTTTCAAGATTTTTTTTTTCTTTGGTTTATCGCTGTTCACTGAATGTGCGATTTGCTTTAGATGGCACCGTAGTGACCACGAAATCGGGCCGAACATTCCCAACAGATGAGCATGATTGGCGATTCTTTTCGGATTCGGTACCACAGACGTTAGCTACCGTTGCTGCACAAAATTTTCGGATAGTATTTTTCACAAACCAGCGGGGTATACAGGTAACGCTTAAATCAAAAGGGCTCGCATGCTTCTTGGAAATTTTTCAGCGTTTTCTAGATCTGTTTTTTGTACAAAAAAAAATCTGTAGAAGCTAGGATTTTGTTCGAATTTATCCTTCGCAATCCAGTTTGTGAAAAATCCGTAATATATGTGACGCACGGCGGCGCAAATTACATCTTTTTTTCGGAAAAAATCCTCAATGTGATAATATATAAAGATAGTTTAATAATACAGTTGAGAAAGAAATTTGGTTTTTTTTTTTTTTTTTTCAGACGGGTACGCAAGATTATGGTGGTTTTTGTCGAAAAATGGAAAAAGTATGCAAAAAAATTTGCCTTCCCGTGCAGGTATTGCTCTCTCTAATATTGTGTGCTTATGTTGCGTGAAAATGAAAAGTGCCAGCGAAAATATATTTATGCAAAAAACACATACACACATGCATCCACTCACAGAAACACGCATATTATGCATTACATTACATACATACATGCACACATACATACATACGTATATAAATACATACATATGCACACATACATACATACACGCATACATACATACACACTTACATGCATAAATAAATACATACTTATCCACACATGCATACATACATGAACGACAGCAGATTGTTTTTTTTGCAAAACGAGATCTCGAATCATTGTTTTTGCGAAGGATGAAGCTCGTGGAATTGTAATTAAACGCAGAAGCTTTGTTTTTTTAGCTTTATTTTCCGGTGATGACCAGTC